CATGGCTGCCAATCTACCTTCTATGTGGTTAATTCTAGAATGTTCTGCTTGAATTGTTGGGAAACTCGGTGTAATACATTCACCTTGTAAGTTATTAGATGTATGAAACTAAACAATCGTGTATTGTAACGTTATATACAACGGTGTTGAATATTGAAACCTGAGAGTACCTAAATGCTTCAAATTTGACTCATGCCTAATTGTACAGGTTAATTGCGGTATTTTTCCTCCAAATTTGCTGCACATAGAATAATTGTAGGCAGGTAATAGAAGGAACTTGAGCAGTTAAATCAATATACAGTTACAATAATTATTGAGCGCCATTTTTGCAATAAAAATCCCCAAAGTTGGCTAAAAGTATACATGCCAAAACTTTCTTCATGCCAAAGTGAGCAAAGGAAATTATTTTACTTTCTATGCATCGGTAAAGGAAAATCAGGGTGGGAGAAGTTGCTGTAGTCCATTAAAGCGAAATCCGCTTTGTAAATGTGGTACAACCTATCAATGACCTGGTGATCCTGTTGAGATAGCCACTCCCTGGCCAGAACAGCTGAGGACTGCAATCTAGGATCACTAACAGAGTCATATGCACCAGACAGCTGCAGAGTAGTGTTTATCTTCTGGTTAATGTCCTTGTTGAGAACACCGCTGTACTCTAAAGGTATGACGTAGTCGTATCTAGCTGAAGGGATGCACAGTTGGAGGTGCTGGGGTGTAAAGTGGTCATTTAACATATTAGGATTGTCCACCAGCCATCTCAGATACTGGTTAAAAGTGGGGTGTGTTCCGCTATTGGTCATGTTATCTTGCAGGTCCATCTCATGTGCTATCATCCGGGCTATTGCTGGAAAAGCAGGTCTCCCAGGTGTCGCCTCGCCGGACAGTTTGTCTCTGTACCCAGAGACTAACCTGGTCCAGGGGTTGCGAACCACTGCAAAACTGAAAATATTTTCACCTCTTGTAACTGCCTTGTTAACGTCATCAGCTTTTGAATGAGCGCCTCGGCCTAACCGGAACTGATTGGAATACAACCTGTGAATGGTATTGACTTGACTTGATCCTAAACTCACATTCAAGATACCTTCCGCTCTCATTAGGAACTCTTTCCAGTTTGAAGACCCGGATTTGGGGATGCCTGTAAATATGGTCTTGATTTTAGGGAAATAGTAAGTTTGTCTTGGATTCCTGCATATCCACATGTTGGGTGGACTGAGAGCTTCATACTCATAGTTTAACATAGCCATAGTCCGGTTTATTTGCTGTTCGATCCACTGGTGAGAAGGTGGAGTGAGATGAAGATCATTGGTAACACTGCCTTTTGAATATTCGCTGGTAATAATATACCCAACGTTTGGTTTCAAGAAGAGGATAAAACCAACAAAGACAAGAGTCCAAAAAAGGAGAGTTTTGAACAGTTTATCTATCTTTCGGTTATGTTTACGACCTTCTGCCATGGACAAATAGTTCTGGACTCTGGTCTGAAAATTTAAATTATTACAACTAAAATTAACTCTCCATTCAATGCAAATATATAACTGTTATACTCGAACAAACTGACAACAGTTTTAAAACAAGCGAACGAATAAATTGAAATGCTCATGTTGAACGGTAACAGTAAAAAATAAAGTTCACTTTATTTAAAGATACGCGCTTTGTTGAGCCAAATGTGGGTCCGCCGGTCCAGGACTTTACGGCGTAAGACTCTAACCCTAACTCTAACCCTAACCCCAACCCTAACCATAATCTTAACCCTAACCCTAACCCTATAAACCCGCCGTAGAGTCGTACGCCGAAGAGTCTTACGCCGCAGAGTCCGGACCCCAGGACCCCTATATTATCAATATTATATATATATATATATTTCATTGCTGAACTTCTACACAATAAAAAAAGCGGTTTTTTCATATATATATATATATATATATACAATAATTACCAGATGGCAAGTAACAATATCGATAATTGAGAAATAACAAAAGAGGATGAATCTTGGCGAATGAATAACTCCTCGTAAGCTACATTTAGATCTCCAGTGTCTGCCAATCTATCTTCTATGAGGTTAATTCTAGAATGTTCTGCTTCAGTTGTTGGGAAACTCGGTGTAATACATTCACCTTGTAAGTTATTAGATATATGAAACTAAAAAATCGTGTATTGCAACGTTATATACTACTGTGTTGAATATTCCAACCTAAGAGTACCACTACCAAAATGCTTCAAATTTGGCTAATGCCTAATTGTACAGGTTATTTAGGTTAATTGCGGTGTTTTTTACTCCAAATTTGCTGCACATAAAATAATTGTAGGCAGGTATGAGATTGCACTATTTGCAAACTATAATCTATATTATATTATATAAATACCTTATCGGACCTTATTTGGACGGACATTAAATGAACGGACATAATTATGAACGGACATTAATGATTAATATGATCCCTAGAAGGCATTCAAAACCATCAAAAATCCGAATTTTTTCTCTTTTTTTCTTAGTTGTAGTGAACAGTGAACGTCAGTGATTATCAAAAACAAAAATTCATGAAAATAAACTTTTTGAAATCTCAATTTCCCCAACTGATAATTATTAATGAACATCTATGAACATTTAATTGTCCTTATTCTCGTAAGTCAATTGTTAGGTAGCAGAATTGTAGACTTAGCGAAGAGATAAAAGACTAACGTATAACTATTAACTCGTACTCGGTTTTATAGATCTAGATTGTAGAGTACGCTTTATAAATATCTACCACATACGCACACTTTATATTATCACAAAAGACTAGTAACCGAGTACCGGTTACTAGGTCTAGAGATTTGGCTACTGAATCAAAAACAGTCGGATATCAATATATTTTCCTGTTAGCTAGACCAGAACTGAGTGGCAAACAGGAGAATTAAAATTGTTTTTGTAACTAATTTTTTATATAAGACTGGTAGGTTTTGTGGATACCATATGAAACAAAAGTCTTCTGGCAACACTTCCTGTGGTGAAATCATTAACTAGGACCACATTTTCTGGCATAAATATGACTGTTTATGTAGAAATTTTGAGCACTGAAAATTTGTTTTCAAATTTTTGAACTAAGTTTGCATTTTGGTGAGAACTTCTGGCACCAGTATGACAGAAGATGTTTAAAGAATAGTGTTAATCAAACAAAACGAACATTGTTCAATATAGGAAGAAAAAAAATGCTAAAATGGCTACACGCCTCACAAAATGGCCAAAATATGCCTCACAAAATGGCCAAAATTTAAAACTCCTTTTTTTGATGTAGACATGTTAGTTTTGATGGTCTAAAGTATTCACAAGCTATTTATCATACAATAACACCCTAATCTAGCCGAATGAAGGTTATAAATCATGAAATCAGGGAATATGAACAACGCCTCACAAAAAAATGCTAAAATGGCTACACGCCTCACAAAATGGCCAAAATATGCCTCACAAAATGGCCAAAATTTAAAACTCCTTTTATTGATGTAGACATGTTAGTTTTGATGGTCTAAAGTATTCACAAGCTATTTATCATACAATAACACCCCAATCTAGCCGAATGAAGGTTATAAATCATGAAATCAGGGAATATGAACAACGCCTCACAAAATAGCCATTTTTGGTGTAGCAAATTATGCCCTTTTTATTCAGTTCTAAGAAATTTCACATATATGGGGGTGTTAACAAGGCATATTTCTACCAGCAGCATGCCTGAAACAAAAGCCAAAGGTTTTAGAAAAATAGAATTTTCTCGTTTTCATTTTTTTTGTCCATTTTGTGAGGCTTTTTTTTTGTGAGATAATTTTTCGCAGCTCAGTTTTTTCGTGAGTTTGAGGTTATTTCCCCATTCCTTAATAGGTTTTCTAACAACGTGTGGTGATAGAAATTTAAAAAGTATCTCCATCAAAAAATTATAGAAATTCAGATTTGGCCATTCTGTGAGGCATGTTTTTTTTGAGGAAGATTTTCCGGCCAATTTTTCTCAAAGAAAAGATGTTTATGAGATTAAATCAACCCCGGGGAAGAAAAATATGAGTGTCAACTTAGCTTCTTATGAGATAAAAACTGGAATAAAGTGTATTTTGTGATTTTGAGAGACCTTCCTTTTTTTGGCCATTCTGTGAGGCATATACCCGTAATTACGTTGTGTTCAGTGATGAGTGAGAGCTACATTTTAATGGGCTGTATACTCGCATAGTTTTTGATGCGATAAAACTGACTACCAAAGAATACTATAAGCTTCCTTTCTGTGACCACGGGCTTTCTAGTCTTACTTATAATTCAAAGAATTATTTTTTTTGTCTGTACGATCGCCCACGTGCAAATTAGGTAAAAAGTAAAAGGTTGCATAATAACCATGGTAACGGTGTTGAACGCGAAATTATTTGCCGCGACAAGTCAAACTAGGCAAAATCGCGGTGAATTTGCGGCGAAAGATATTGATAATGTATTTGCAGAGCTAAGTTAGATGTCATAAATTCGGTAACTAGCTTGTAAGTCTAGTTAGATTAGGGAGCGACAGGCTCGTCAGGAAAAACAATAACATCTATATTAATAATCTTTAGAATTAGTGTGTACTGATCAGCTATAGTATTAGTAGTGTTAAGATCTAAACAGACTCTTCTTCATGATGCCTACGATTGATTATTGTCAAGTTAGAAAACGGTAAGAGGTTCGTGGCTGGTTTTTTTCGGTATAGTGCCCACAAACTCTGACGAAGCCCAAGAGCCTAAGTTTTTTTCATCGTTACACGAATTATGACTTTATGAATTAGGGATGCACTGGTTCATAGGATTAGGGTAATGACAATTGCTAGTTGCTTTGTGTGTAGAATTAGATTACTGTGCTGGCGGCGCTCTGACGAATCTCTACTCGATAATCTCTATGTGATTATGAACATAAATACATATAATAGCCTTGGGTCCCCAGGGTGTCCTCCACGAAGCAGTTACGATCAAACTTAGGCTGTAATATTTACGATCGTGAGACATCCACTGTCAAAGTTACTATCAATCTGTCCACGAAACGTTAATCGATTTAAGCCTTACGATTGAACTTTAGCTACTTACGATATAACTTTACGATCTACATATGATATCCTACTACCACCTTATTAACCCAAATAAGGAGCGTGATGGTTGCGTGAGGTGAATCACGCGATCGTAGATTCAAAATTTGATCGTAAGTTGAACTTTTGGTTGATCGTAGAAATGGCCACTTACGATATAACTCACGACACCTATTTGTCAACTTTTAGGGACTTACGATCAACTTAGAGGTCGATATTACGCTATTACCGAATCTTCTTCCTATATTCTTAAACGTTTAATGACTTTAAATGGTACTGATCAAAATAGTCTGTGATCGGATAAAAGTGTTTATAGTTATATTATTTCAATAACAATAGAGGACATGCTAATATACCCATTGAACGAAATTAAAAATTATTACCATTCTGCTCATACGGGTAATGATAAAAATATGATGACCTCACAGTTAACAAAATATAATTGCGCATTTAACCAAAGAATAATCATTCTGACTCTGTGCTGTACTAATTGCTCAAGTATCAGTCTGCTGCACTGCCACTGTCGCTTTGTCACTGCCTGACCCTGCGCGTAAATTTATTAGTAGATAGTAAAAATTTTACCATGATTAATATTTTGTCGAATTTTCATAGAAATATGGTTATTTTGAACCATGTGATATGATGTGTTATAGTCATCAAATAAAATACAATTATATTAAACTTAAAGGTGTATTGAAATTAACCTTTTCTTGGAGCTGAAGTGAGTAACCATTAGTTTGTTTCTTGCCACGATCCCGCGGATGCTGAGCGTCTTATCGGATTGTGAGATAGTAGGTGGTGGTCGGATCGACACATTAGCAATGTTCTCAAGTTCTATGCTCTTCTTCACATGCTCTGAAGTTGTCATCGGGAAATTCCGCTCAATGCAATAATTATGCAACACCATGCAGCTCACGATTATAGCGCATGCCATATCAGGTGCAAACATCAGGGCACCCCCACTCTCCTTGCAGAGGCATCTGAAGCGAGATTTTAGTGCCCCAAATGCCCGCTCAATTACACACCGAGACTTCTTGTGGCGTCCATTATATTTTACCTTTGCCGTGGAGTCCGGTTCAAGATACGGTATCATCATTTCTTCTCTCTGAGCATACCCCGAATCCCCAATGAGCCAACCTTGGTAGTCAGAGGGTTTTGAAGCGAGGAAAAGCCCCAGTTCTTCTCTGAAAGAGCAATGCTCCCATATTGTAGAATCATTTACGCTCGCAGGCCACCGAACAGATGCTTCCAAAAACTTTAATCTATGGTCACAAATTGCCTGACAGTTAATGTAGTGTCCGGGATGCCGACCCACATACGCATCTTCGTCAACTGACGGGGCTCTTATCTTTATCTTAGTCCCATCAATTGCCCCAAGACACCCTGGAAACCCACCATAATCCAGGAAACCTTGTTTAGTCGCAACAACCGAGCTTGTTTCCCACGAGTTAGTGATATACTCACTCGCCAATGACGACAAGGCAACCGAAACATTCTTTACACAATTCTCGACAGAACCAAGTGACAGTTTGAGGTCGGCAGTGCTGCGAAGTGAGCGAAGTGAGTTGCCAGAGGAATAGAAGCTAAGGGCAACCATGAGCTGAGTCTCAACAGGGAGGCCAGATTGAGTCTTCCGCTCAATCAACTCGTGTTTTCTGATTTTTTCTGCGAAATGATGGATTCCGACTTTGTCTAAACGAAAATTATCTATTATTGAAGTATCAGTAGAGCGGTCAAGAAAGTCAGTAACAGACTGATGAGTTCGACTGACGACCGGATGGCTCTGGACGGTGACCCTGTTGCTATACCAATGATAAAATGCCATTATTGATTTCGTGAATTCCTTAAATGCAAATAAATTAAGTTGATTGTTGAGGGAGTGTGGTGTCATAAATTATAGTCATATGTGTATTTATTAGTTAAAATTCCTTATTATATATATACAATATATATATATGAAAGAGAAATATATATATATAATAATTATAATAGGTAATCAACTCAGAAAGTGCTGGAACTGATCCTGGAAGTAATGTAAGAATTCAAGTAATGTAAGCAAAATCACACACACTGAATTTGGTTTGGTTTGGTTTGGTTTAGAGAGCTTAGACGTGAGGTCTAAACTGGGTCGATTGAAAAGTGAGCTACAGATTAGCGGCTGGGAAAAACAAAGAGATGGAGATTAGTGATTAACTATGCTGGTAATCAGTACAGGTGCTGAGTGAACGTTTGGCAGACCATAAAAACCGGAAGAAAAACTGTTAATGACTTAAACATCCTAGAATTAAGTGCCACAACCATGAGGTTAAAGTCAAGAAGGTCTAAAATGGATCTAATTGTATAATGTGCTACCGAGAAAAGTACTTAGCAAAGTAACATGAGGAAATTAAACTACTATAAGGGGATAAATGGTGATCGTGAGATAATAACTACAAACCATGCCTCATGATAGACGATAAAGTGAGTATATGAATGGAAAGAGCTAAATAATTAACTCCGGTAATTAAATACTGGTATTACATAAAATAGTGAAGTCCACACGTTTAAAATTCTGTCCATTATAGAAACTGTGCCGGGGTAATTTAAGCGGGAAAAAACTAACAGCAGGAGCCGGGATTATCAGAATCTATCCCGCCCGCCCGTTCTTCGCTCAAATTTGTTTTCTGTTATAATTATCAGTTATCAACCTTCATCATGCAGACCGTATCTGATATTACCGCTATTACTCCACCTTCTGATCCTATAGACCGGCCTTCCTCATCCAATACTGAACAGATCTCATCGGATTCGACAGGACCTCCTTTGGACACTGACCTAACTACTTTAGACGCTGACCTCGCTACTTTAGACACTGAACTCGCTAGAATTACATCAGATGGCGACCTCACTACTTCGGATAATGGAATAACCCCGCCGATAACCATCATCAATGCCTCACTAGGGAAAAGGAAAAGAAAGAAACAGAAGGCGGAGCCCGTAACTGCAGTTGTCAAGAAGGAACGAGCACGGAACTTCACCTCGGAGGAGGTGCAAGTTATTATGCAGGAAGCGGGGAAGAACACAGCTATTATCAAAGGCCGATTCACGCCTACTATAACCAGCGAGGCAAAGGAGAAATTGTGGTTAGCAATAACTAAGTCGGTGAACGCGATCAACGGTAAAGGAGACAGAGAATGGAAGGATGTTAGGAAGAAATGGATCGACACTTCATGCTCTGCTAGGTCCAAGCTTCGCAACATTGAAAAGGAGCAGCGAAAGACTGGTGGTGGCGCCAGCTCAGCCCCCCCTCTCAGCAAGGTGGAAACCCTTGCTTTGGACAGTATATCAGGAACAACTGTTCGGGGTATTCCAGGAGGAATCGACACTGCAGATGTGTCACGTTCTTGTGGAATCATTGGAAGTTTGATAGCTCACTCAAACCTGGTGCTAAACGACAGTAACGACTCGGAAATATCCTTTGACCTGAACAGAAACCCGAGATCCAGCACCCCGAGATCCAGCACCCCGATTCCCTCCCCCGACTCCTCTATTCAGAGTCCCTTCTCTCTATCAACACCACCATCCTCCTTTCAACTGCAACCCTCTCCACTAGCCACACAAACCTCCTCTCAGAATCCTCCTGCTAGAGCTACAACTGGCTCGATCCGCTCAAGCAGAACGGTGACAAGAGACGTCCGAAACGACGAGTTTAAGCAGTTGCTGGCAGAACAGAAACGGACAAACGACATCCAGGAAGGCATGCTTAGACTGCAACGAGCGAAAAATAAACGATCAGTGAAATACATTTCATTGTGGTAGTTGTACATATCTCAGTGACTGAGCATATAATTATAAACGTTTGATCTATTATGGTATATATAATCTTTAATCTTACAGTTAAGTTACATGGTACGCATGGAATTTATCATATTATTTTATATTGTTGTAACATACTTGTTTATTTTTGTCTCTAGCTCTTGATGAATGATTTAAAACGATTTAAATTACATTTTATAACACATCAATAAACTTGATAGAATTACATTAGATACACTTGAAATAAAGTAAGAACAAGAAATAAAGACCGCCATCAATTCTATTAACACAACGCAAAACGAGTTCAATTTATGATTAAAATGGCGTTATACAAGAGCTGCGCGTTCCGACTGCGTGAATTAACTTGTGTTGCGAATCTCCTATTGGTCAATGTACCGCGTCACGTGATAAAACAATTTGCTCTACGATCAACCTTGAACTGAGTTTCGTGGACAAGATTCCGGAGGCTAATTAAATTGATTTACATGATCTCAGATTACAAAATGTTTCGTGGACACTTTTTAGGCGCGATCGTAAAGTTACGATCGATCTTAGAGTACACGATATAACTTACGATATAACTTTCGTGGAGGACACCCAGGTAAGTGTATAGATAGTAAGTCTGTGCGGCTTTTAGTGATAATGTAGAATTTAGAAGCTTGCTTTAAGTTTAATAATTACTATATTATACGTAAGAATTATAATTATTATAAAAGTTATGTTTATATAGAAACAAGGAGAGTAACTTACATATTGAGGTACTACTTTTGTTCATGTTTCATGCTAAACTGATCATTTTGAGCCGAAAATACTTTTTCGGTCCGTACCTACATTCGGAAGGCTGTGGATGTGATTAGTTCCATATAAATATAATTATAAAGAACGTCATACTGTTATTTGGCCCTCGGACTCAAAAGAGAATGCGCACATTTTATCCTCAGAGAACTGGAATTATTGCGATTTGTCGCGAGAATCTGAGAAAATCGCGATTTGTCTCGGCAAACGTCAAAAATTGCGATTTGTCTCGGCAAACGTCTAAAATTGCGATTTGTCGCGGAGAGTGGGAAAAATCGCGATTCTGCAGGTGCCGTGATTTCCTTTTGACCTTGACCTCGGAGGAGGTGCAAGTTATTATGCAGGAGGCGGGGAAGAACACAGCTATCATCAAAGGTCGATTTACCCCTATACTGTAACCAGCGAGGCAAAGGAGAAATTGTGGTTACTAATAACGAAGTCGGTGAACGCGATCAACGGTAAAGGAGACAGAGAATGGTGGGATGTTAGGGAGGAATTTGGATCGAAAATCATGCTTTGCTAGGACCAAGCTTCGCAACATTGAAAAGGAGCACCGAGCAGCGAAAGACTGTCTGTGGCGCCAGCTCGGTGCCCCCTCTCAGCAAGGTGGAAATCCTTGCTTTGGACAGTTTAGCAGGAAGAGCTACGCGTTCCGACTGCGTGAATTAACTTGTGTTGCGAATCTGCTATTGGTCAATGTACATTGTACTGCGTCACGTGATAAAACAATTTGCTCTACGATCAACCTTGAATTGAGTTTCGTGGACAAAATTCCGGAGGCAAAATAAATTAAATTACATGATCTCAGAGTACAAAATGTTTCGTGGACACTTTTTAGGCGCGATCGTAAAGTTACGATCGATCTTAGAGTATACGATATAACTTACGATATAACTTTCGTGGAGGACACCCAGGGCGGTACTTTCCTAAAAAAGTAGACACGAGAGCGAATCACATCAATCATTTTAGCATGGACACGAGGGTGGAACCAAAAAACCGTAACAATATCCGTTTGTCCATGTTAATGTGATTCATGTAGTTAATACGTTCCAAGACGAGTTTTACTTTTAGGCAGACGCAAGACGAATTAATCACTGAGGTGTGTACACTCAATTTCAAACCATCAATCCTCTCAGTTAAAACAACCATCATTCAGGACGGTTTTTGTGTCCTATACCCAAAGATAATTAGGTCGTCTATCACGTTAATACTTTAATACAACATCGAACTTAGTTTGTCAAAAATAAAAAGAATCTCATCAAGAATCCAAAGCATCATCCAGGGCTTCCCAAAAAAAGGGCTACCGATTTTAACTTAGACATTAACATAAACGTGCTTAACAAATGGATATTGAATAACCATTTTTAGGACGCCTCATTAACATTAGTATTATATAAAACTAATATTAAGAAGGGAGGCTTCTAAGGGAGCGTCACAGGAACTGCAGACGTGTTAAAATAACCATTGCTACATGGGGTAATGGCTATTTAATGCTTATGATATGAGGATATAGATACTGATATATACATCTGATATGCATTTGATACAATAGAATATTTATATTTTTGTGAACTATTTAAATTATTTATCTTATTATCGTCCCTCTCATTATTTAAATATTATATCGTCCGCTCCCCTACGATATTTCACGTGCCTGCATCACATGATTAAAACACGTGGGGCCACCTCATGATTTCCTTCCTGAACCAGCATAAGTCGCGTAAGTCGTAACAAATAATTTGAGGACAACATGACACTAAAAAACTTAACACGAGTAAATATGGACAGAACTGAACAAGAACAAAAACCACATTAAAAAACTGAGGAATCAGGAAAATTATGCAACCCAGGAGTCAACTACTTAGCTATCATCGCTCAAAGTCAATAATCATTAATCGGTTTGGTATCGACGTTACATACTTTGAAGCTCATGACTAAGAAACCAGGGAATTAATTTTACTTTCCTAAAGATTAAATCGTTGATTTTATTCCTATTCCACTTAAAAAACATTCCAGTACATTGTGCAGAAAGTTGGAGATTTAAATTTTGGAACTATGTATCCGATATCGATCGCAATTACTGAAAATACTCTAGCACATAATTCTATAATTGTAACTGCAGTTTTACAGGACTCCAATTCCAAATGCTTAATCACTAACTTAATGAATACACTTGCAGGCAAGGACAAAAGAAAACCGCGGCACGTGCGGAATCGCGATTTTCCTCATTCTCCGCGACAAATCGCGATTTTTTACGTTTGCCGCGACAAATTGTGATTTTCTCAGATCCTCGCGACATATCGCGATTTTTAAAGTTCTCGCTGCGACAAATCGCGTATTTTCCTTTAAATCTGCTGGTCAAATATCACGTTCTCTATAAGAATAGGTATGGAACCGAGCACGTCCACAGTCCACACACTTCCGAATGTAGGTACGGACTTCGAAAATCGAAAAAACATTTTCGGCTAATAATGATCAGGATAGCATGAATCGTGAACAAAAGTAGTTACAAAAAAAACTTGATAAAATGTTCGGTTCGAGTCATCCTCGATACGTACCTCTGAAGGCAGAACTCCCCTTTCCGATCATCACATGGCATGGAGTGCGTTTAGAAATTTATTGATATCATTTAAGAACGTGTACTGTGTAGCGTGTAGTTATAAGGTAATAGTATGGGACTGGATCGAAATTGTCGAGAATGTGTAGTGTGTGAACTGTGAACTAATAGAATGTAAGACTAAGACTATTGTCCCTCGATCTTCATTCCTCAAGTATCTCCCGATCGGCAACAGTTAACACAGCACTCAGCAGCTCAATATGCAAAAATAAATAAGATAGCAAACGCTAAAAAGGCAAAGACTTGACCACTAGACATAAAGTTGACCACTAGACATATAAAACTTGACCACTAGACATAAAATTGACCATTAGACATTAACTTGACCACTAGACATACAGTGGATTATGAAATCGTGCAGTAGGTGAAATCAGTGTTGTTATTGATTGTCACTTGTTAGATACTTGTCACAAACGTCGTCGGATCTATAGTTATTGATTTGTGTTTTGCTTGTTATTGAACAGTGGACCGCTTGTCGCGGTGCCGCGATTTTTAGCCAAAATAATTGTGATTTTCTTTTGTCCTTGCTTGCAGGTACCACCCGTATTCACACTCAGATTTCAGAACTGAGTTTAGTCATTATCCAATACGAGATTGGGGACGGGTTCTACAAACAAACAAACAACCACAGTTAGGTAATGAGAACTGTGGTTTTATTAATAAACTTTATTACGGCGCACTTACAGGGCTTTTCTAGTACATTCTAATAATTAGTCTCGTGGTGTCAAGACTCAAGAGACTAAAATCTTAAAATAATTATTACCTATTTAATTTTAATTCGTGTTTTTGACACCACTTGGGGGTCCACATTTTGGGCACTAAAATTCTTATTCTTTGGTCAATTATTTATTTTTTCATGCTGATTTGAAGGCCATTAAACTTAAAGCATTTGAACCAGTCAAAAACGTTTAAGTTGTATATCTTTTACGGTTTTTGCGGAAAGTCGTGCTAACGTTGATGCCGTGGTGTCAGTAAAATGGTACGGATAAATATATATATTAGGACGCAATGAAACTACTGGACCACGATGTATGGGGACTTGCCACCCCATGGCAACATTAAAATATATCGACTCTGTTACATCGTTTCCTGTTAATATAAAACTCCGTTACAAAATGAACTGGGATCTGGCAATACTACACCTTAGTTCGATAAAATATGATAAAGTAATGTATAACTAGACTTAAGTAAAAGTCTGAAAGAATATAGAAAACAAAATATATACTGCTAGAAAGCTAAATAATAAACTGCCAAAGAATAGTTATCGTCTCGCTTTATATACTGTATATTGTATAGAGTCTGTAGATTTTGTTCAGAGAAAGCACCTCAAGCGCATCCTACACATCTATTGGCCTAGCTCAATATCCAACAAGGCCCTCTACGCTCGTACCCAGACCAGGCCCCTTTCCGAGAGAGTGGGAAAGGCAAGGTGGACAATGCTAGGTCATGTTCTACGCAGTGACAACGACACGCCTGCCTACCAGTCTCTGTTATTTGCTACACTAGGATGTCAAACGCTAAAGGGACGAGTGGGTAGACACAGGACTAATTTGTATGATATTATTGTGAAAAAGGACCTATTTAAGAGACAAATTTATTTGAAAAACGAAGATGATTTTACCAACTTAGTGAACTTAGCAAGAGATAGAGTAGGATGGAGGAGTTTATTTACTTTGAGACATATTGAACGAAGGAGTCTTCGAAAGCGTAAATAGGCCAGCACTTTGCTGAGCCTCTTTATGTGCTCTTTTGTTTATAGATGTTATTATATATATTGTATATTAAGATAAGGAGTCATAGTTATCAAACTCACAAACAAGTTGTTAGTAAACATGAACCAACTGTTTAACATTGTCATCTAATCAATATTCGTTTACACTAAGTTAACATTAACGAAATGTTTGGAATTATAACTCATTTACATTTATAAATTTTTAAAATTAAATACTGTGCTCGATTGGTAGTGATGTATTGATAAATTAAGGATCTATGGCAGAATTTATGATGAATTTTTTGAGATTTAATGTCAAAGGAAGTTAATTATAAGGCACATGGTCAAAACAGTCACAGTCACAGTCACAGTCACAGTCACAGTCACAGTCACAGTCACAGTCACAGTCACAGTACCTTAGTTTTTGGTTAATTTTTGGTTAGTTGTTGGTTAGTTGTTGGTTATTGTTGTTCCCTAATATCTACTCCTATATTGAGGATAAATCAATTATATTGCAAACAAAAATTAAAATCCGACTTTCAAAACCAAAATTTGCATTATCAGGGCGGCATAAGCCTCAAACCAAAAACTCCATTCATTTCAAACATGGTGATATATGAATGTGATATTTTCATTTCAAACAATCGTAAACAAGCCTCCCATACTTTTGAAACTTTGAAACATCTCATTTTAGTTTAAAATATCTATCGATTTTGATTGTAAATCTGTCAAATAGCTCTCATATGACAATACTTTTATCAGTTAAATCGACTTACCTGCCATTTAAATGCATTGTAAAACCTAAGTTTGACAGGCTGCGGTGAATTTTATCTTTATTTTCTATTTATTTCCGCATTTTCTAGACGATTTTTGGTATTTTTAGAAGTAGAGGCAGACTTGTGACGTGTGTGATTTGTGCTTGTTGAAAATACTTTGCGTTACGTCACCAGATATTAGGATCTGTTGTCTTCTACACTCGGTCACATTCGTCACATTAGTCTACTTGTTTTAAACGTGGTCATGATATTTTGTAGGTATCACTAAATAAGTACTCCTTACTTCCTCCTTCAAATTGGTTACTTGTTTCATGCTGTTTTATACCTTAGCTGTTTCCGTCGAGGGCCGTCATGATGCTCTTTACCAAATATTGAAATATAACAATGTTACCACATCACTCTTTGCAGGATTTTTGTTTTAAAGTTTAAACATCTGCCGGATATCCGGCTAATTTGTGTTTTTAACCCGTTGTTTGGTTTGCATACATTGTTATTGGTTCGTGATAGAGTATTTGTTCTATCTAGCTAAACGTCACATACATCAGAATGCGATGGAAATTTAAACAAGCACTTACTACAATTAGCATATTCTTGGACGACCATTTGACTAATAGACGAAACACTTTCATAATACTAAACTGTCTGCTTAAACTGATTCAGAGAACTCGGGAAGAAAGATCCGTTTTCTAGAGGGCATGAAGTCTGAAGTCAGGGTAATAAGTCTAAGCATGAAGTCTAAACATGAAGTCTGAAGACTGAAATGGTTTCTGTCTCTTTGGAAGGAACTTGTCTTTAGTACGAAAGCTCATTTATTATTCTACTCTCATAATGAACGGTGTCGTATCCTTGATATTTCCTAGCAACGGGTTATTGGAGGTAATTATGGTTCATAGAGTGGACAAGAAAATAAGGTCTGTAACATTTCGACTCTAACTTTCTGATTGGTATGTCATTCAGTGTTTGGGCCTCTTCATCATTTTCTCTTTCTCTAAAGTTATACTTGTAAATCCTGATAAATCAGTTCCATTTCTTTCCTTATACTTATAAAAGGAGGAACACTTCTCATTAGTCCTGGAGGGGGATTATATTAAAAATACGTGTGTAAATCGTCTTCAGCTGGAGATGATGTTGTGAAGGGGTGATTATATATGATGTAGTGGTGTCTCATTAGTCTCTTTCATAGATACTAGAGAGTGTCTTCCGACTGTTCTAGAGTTCTTATTAACAGATTAATCTGATTAAGTCGTGTTATTCAGTCTCATTCAGTCTCAGTTTCTGCTTTTTTCTGGATAGACTCAGTGATGACAAATACAATAATAAGGGTTTTAACTGATCGAGACAGTTTATTTCTAGACCTGTTATGAAATCGAAAGAAGACACCAACTAATGACTAGGTCGGATTTATTCCGGCCCTAATTATTTATCGCTTCAGTGATTACCCATTAGACCCCTAGACCCGTATTCCCACTCGTGTATGGCGTCGATTCTTTTATTAATTCGGTGTCTGATAACCCAATTTTCCTTGTGGTTTGTGCTTTTAAATGCTCAGTATTTGTTGTTACGTTTTGATCCTTCTAGTCAGATCAACGGAAATATTATTTTTAAATGATCCTATAAATAGATTTAGCATCTTTCTATTTCAACTGGGTCAAAATTACCCTGACGATTAACTTCATTGTTCTGCTATTGAATTATTTCACCAAACTATTCAATATTCCTGTTGATTGTATACTTGTAGTTCCAGACCAAGAAACTAATTTTGTTGGATTTTGAAAGTGTAGTTTAAATGCTTATATAGTTATCTTGAATCTTCACCAGAAATGACATGAAGCGAGACGATGCTATGAAGACTAGATAGAAGAATGTAGAATGTCTTAATAATGTTGCTCCTGATTTTAGCACTACTTCTGGATGTGATCACGTGTGAAGTTACCTTTGTTGCTCTTCCTCCAGCCTCTCCAGTCTCAATACCTGGCACTCGGATATTAGTTAAGAATATTGGTGAGTAAGTGATCAAAATGTTTAACAATTATTTAGATTATCATATTTAATACATGTCTACTTTTGGGTTACTTCTGAGTTTTCTCAAAGTACTGCTACAACTACGATTAAATACATCCCCTGAAACAAGGCTAGATATAAATAACGATTACAAAGCATAAAAACTTAAAAAGTAACATTATCAATCAATCAATTAATTAATATCATTACCTCAGATAAAACAAGTCCAGATTACCGAGCTCAGGAATCTAACCTGTTACGAGGGAGTGCAGTGGTGGAGGACACACAAGATAGACAACAGTTTCATAGTCTTATACAGGATGGAACAGGTAATTAGTTAGTTAGTTAGTTAATAAATCAATTAGTTAATTAATTGGTTAATTAGCAGTTCCATTTCTGCCATCATTGAAAGTTCAGTATCATTTCAACTGCACTACTCTTAAAAACACATTACTCATGATTTATATTTACTAGCAGGAACCCGTATAACCCTAAAGTTGTGTCAAGACTCGAGAGACTAAATTAATTATTACCTATTTTACCTATTTAATTCGCGTTTGTGACACCACTTGGGAGTCCAAATTTTGGGCTCTAAAATTCTTATTCCTCGGCCAATTTTTTATTTTTTCATGCTGATTTGAAGACCATTAAAGCATTTGCCCCAGTTAAAAAAGTTTCAGTTGTATATATTTTACGGTTTTTGCGGAAAGTCGCGTTAAAGTTGATGCCGTGGTGTCAGTAAAATGGCACGGATCCATATATATATATATATCGTCTCGCTTCATATATAGTAAGATAAAACGTATATGAGATCTGAAAAATCGCGAATTAAATAAATAATACAGTAAGTTTAACAGTATTATTTATTTTCACTTCCTCCCAACAGGTACGTTATACTCTACCAACAGTCTGGTGACGCACGCATGTTCGCTCCAAGAACACCAGGCAGACCAGTTCTTCTACGAGGCAATGCCGAGCGAGTTTAAAGCGGGCCTGGGAGCCTTGGTGCCGTGTTTAGTGACCGGTATACCTACACCTGACAAGACTGTTGTCAGGTAATTAATTATTCTGTTATGTTGATTAGTATTGATTATTTAGGAAAATGTAGAAGTGATCCATGTAATATGTATATCCGTCAATTTGTGAGTTATTTTACTTATGCTAAACCTGTTATTAAATGTTAACTACCATTTTCTTAATTACCAACAATTACTCAAGCAAGCATTCAAATTCTATCAGGTGCAGTTCCAGCTCCTGCGAAAAAACTGTAAAGATCAGATTTTCTGACCATGTTGTGACAGCGGATGGACACTTGGTTATCAGAAACTCTTCTGAAGCTGACTCAGGATGGTATAGGTAGGAGTTATTAATTATTATTACTAGCAGGAACCCGTCTAACCCTAAAATTGTGTCAAGACTCAAAAGACTAAAACAATTATTACCTATTTAATTCGCGTTTTTGACACCACTTGGGGTACCAAATTTTGGGCTCTAAAACTCCTATTTCTTGGCCAATTTTTTATTTTTTCATGCTGATTTGGAGGCCATTAAAGCATTTGACCCAGTCAAAAAAGTTTCAGTTGTATATCTTTGACGGTTTTTGCAGAAATTCGCGTTAAAGTTGATGCCGTGGTGTCAGTAAAATGGCACGGATAAATAAATATATATATATATCGTCTCGCTTTATATATAGTAAGATTATTAATTTCAACTGAAATGGGAATTACAATTGTTAATTGTTATCGTCTACAAATATGTATCAGTTTAAACTTAAAACTAGACTGAAAAAAACCCCTCTAAGATCTCAATATTTGAATGGTACCCCCCCCCCCCCCCCCCCCCCTGCCCCCTCATTCTCTCTCTACATGACATCCTCGTAATAATAATATAATCAAATGTTCAGCATAGACTGTTGCCACCAACCATGCCCTCAATCAAAATTTAAAACTTTTCTCCTCCCAGATGTGAAGCACGGAACGTTTGTGGCAATCTCGCTTCAACCCCCATCCTTATAACAGTCAGGTTTGGACATGAGCCAATTTTAAGTACCTTTACAGTAAAACGTTAATCCCTGAAGCTGCTTTGACAAATGATTACTAGACCAGTTATTTTGCACAGTCTTACGTTGCAACTTGCAAATTTATTTACCGGACTTTCTTAACTTCTGGAACTGTGCCGTTTTAACGAACACAAGTTTCACTGGGGTGTGAAAGATCAAAGAATACGGAAATACCGCGACATATCTTATAAAGGAACGTTAGTTTGAACCAAATATCTTTTACTAAACAGGAAGGATTTGAGTGGGGAGGCGAATAATCAGAAGTATTATGTTATGTCACGTAGAACCGAAATCTTCGATTTGAACGAAACAGAGGATGAACACTTAGGTAAGTAACAAATTATTATGTTTTTAAAATACTAAAAAATGCCATTATCGTCCATATACTGGTGTTGACTGTTGGACCTTATGGCGATGATTTGACGGTATAAATAGGTCTACTTGATATAAAACAGCATATAGTTCTTATATAATAAAAATGCTGAACGGCTAAAACTATAAATAATATGAAGTATGAACACCGTAGTGGGTAGCCATATCATTATCATAATCGTATGAATCTTCAGTCTTCACAAATAAGTTATTTTCTACTGGCCAAATATTTTGATCTTACCAAAATTTCAAAACAGGTTCCATGAAAGAGCTAAAAAGAGAAATGACTGAGTACGAGCTCTGGAAGCTGAACACAACAAGACCGGCTTTCTACGACGAGGTTTTCTACCCTCAACCGCGCGGCATCTACTTCTACTACTACCCCATCTTTGATTCCTTCGACTTTGGCTTCAATGCTATGTACAACAATCCTGTTATTCTCGCCGAGCAGAACTATGCAGGAATCACTCACAACAATAGTTTCTCCACCCACTACAGCTACGCTACTCTCCCTTTATTTGTCATAGAATTCACAACAGACCTTAAAATCCCACCGATTATTAAACCAGGCGTTCACGTCCCCACTACCAGTCCCTCAGATGAAACGGTTGTAACATTCACCGTTTATAACTCCATGAGTTCAGATTTCCAGTGCTACAGAAACTCTATTAGATTACTGAACAATTGGAAAACCAAGTTAGAAATGACAGATGAAGCGATCCATATCATTTTAAAGTATCCCCTGATATCAGACGGTGGGTACTACCAATGCTCCATTAGTTACGATGTAGTTTACATTAGTTCCCCGGTGTATGTTCACGTGGAGAAGCCTATAAGATCCTACAGAGCCTCTACAACAGTGTCAGCCACATCAGCGTCCCTAACCTGGGAACTTCTCACTCTACTCGGACATTTCCACATCTACCAAGGACAGTACGTGGTGAGTCTCTCTGAGCACCCTCCTCTACTCACCTCTAACAACTCAGTTAGTTTTAACCATCTCACCCCTTATCACAACTACACGTGGCATGTAATGAGCCCTTATCAGACCCCTTTAACTGACCCTCAAGTCTTCAGAACAACCTCCGCGATCCCAACCTCGAGTGTTGGTAAAATCAGTGTTATCAGAGAAACAACATTGTTGAATTTAACTTGGGCCACCTTCCAACAGCCGCAGTGGCACGACAGTTTCGTCTTCTTCACCGTGCGCGTTACCTCTAAATCCAACCGGTCCGAAGAGATCAAGGAATGGTCTGTTAAGAGGTACTCGGAGGACGTGATGCTGACAAAGCTATACCAAGCGACCCAGTACAACGTGTCAGTGACAGCCTGTAACTCAATAGGATGCAGCACCAACACTACCAACCTCACTCTCGTCACCAAGCACGTGGAGCTCCGGAAACGACCTGTAGTCACCATGACAACCATTAGTTTAACACACGTTGAGTTGGTCACGACTAACGTTTCAGATGGAGTTGAGACTTACCTGGAGCTTTTTCCAGGAGATGGGTGTTTCTCCGCCCTACCCCTCCCCTCATACAACCTGGTTAAACTCCAGATCCCACTGTCCAGATTGGAACACCTGGACACGTTCACCACGTACTCCTTGCGAGTCCAGTCTACTAATGGTTATTCCACCTCTCCCTGGTCCTCTTGTGTATCCTTTAAAACTCCTTTTAACCGCCTCCATGTCATTATTCCCTCACTTTGTCTTGCTCTGGTTTTCGTACTGCTGGCGGTTGTGAGGGCCCTCATTAAGACAAGGTGCCCCGATGTGGTGAACAAGCTGAAACAAGCTCTGGAACCGAAATATTTGAACATTTTGCACGAGCAAGATGAGTGGGACACAAGTAACGAAGTGGCAATTATTCATACCAAAATAGAAAACTGCAATCTGTGAACTGATAATTGTCACGTTGTGCTCTCAAAAGTTGCCATATGATATGCCTTACCTGGAGACCCCAGGCTATTATATTATGTTCATAAACATATGAATAGAGATTCGGATAGATTTCGAATATAGATTCGGCGGAATGATAGGCTGAGCGTCGCCCAGTAAGCCCAGGCCACAACGAAAATCAAAGCGACCATACCAAGCTACAGACCATAGGTGTTTATACTTATATTTCTGGATTTTCTATACTTACAGAAATGCTAAGATTAATATAAGTGATTTGGTTTTGGATTTCACATCCTGTAAAGCAGATTATAATATGAAAGTCATACTCCAACTTGATACGAGTCATGCATAATTTAGCTGTGTTTTATTTAAATTATTTATGCTCATGCTATTACAATTAATTATTTCCGTGCAATATCTATCTAATCAGTTATAAGACATTTATTTTACTTTTTGGATTATATCATTATTCACAAAATTTGAGATTAGAGAGAATTGTAAAACGTATAACTGTAAGTAAAAACGAATTAATATTACAGCCGGAGAAAATGCCTTCTGTGGCCGGGGGCCATCGCGCACGATCAAAAGCCAAAGGGGTTACAACGTGTATTGTAGGTTTACAACCTACCAGGACGCGCGCCGAGTTGGACTCGTCGACGGTCAATATATGGAACAGATATTTTACGAGTATCACCCGTTAACAACGTGTATCAAGAAAAAAAAGTATAGAACGAAGAACGTGTATCATGATATTGTCATTGATACTCGAGCTTATTTCATATATGGCTGAATTCAAAATGTAAAACGCGTGCGCGCGAGGAGCGAGCAATGCCAATACGTCACGCTGCACGCGCGACGACAAACATCAAACATGCTATCAAAAAATGATCACCTCTATAGCAAGCCCGCCAGGCAGTACGGTCTCCTGGGTTAATAACCACGCTTGTAGCGCGATGCACTACTAGGTCGCGCGCGCATCAAATAATGCTTCTCGCAACCACAGATCGGCGAGATGCGAAGGATTGACATTGTGAATCAATAACCACGCACGATCAATTTTCCCTACGATGTATTTGTAGGGAAGTTGGTCGTTTAGCTCCGGACAGTCTATGCAACGTCTATGCAACGTCCGTGCAACAACAAAAGAACCGTCTATGCAACGTCTATGCAACGTCCCTGCACAATGAACACTCTATGCACACTCCCTGCACGGTCAGTCTATGCAACGTCTATGCAACGTCCCTGCACAGTACCATATGAACACCGGCTACTAGCCGGCTACTAGCCGGCTAGTAGCCAGTTTTGTAATAACAGCTCCTCAACTTCACATTAACAACTGGCTACTAACCGGCACTTGAAAAGTGGTCACTAGCCGGCTACTAACCGGCTACTAGCCGGCTAGTGACCACAAAGTGGCTACTAACCGGCTACTAAGCGGTCACTAGCCGGCTATTAGCCGAGCTCTAAAGCAGACCTATTAGTAGCCGGTTCTAAACCGGCTACTAGCCGGCACTTGAAAAGCGGTCACTAGCCGGCTACTAACCGGCTACTAGTAACCACCAAGTGGCTACTAACCGGCTACTAAGCGGTCACTAGCCGGCTATTAGCCACTTTTGTAATAACAGCTCCTCAACTTCACATTAACAACCGGCTACTAACCGGCACTTAGAAAGCGGTCACTAGCCGGCTACTAACCGGCTACTAACCGGCTAGTAACCACCAAGTGGCTACTAACCGGCTACTAACCGGTCACTAGCCGGCTCTTAAGCGGACCTACTAGTAGCCGGTTCCAAACCGGCTAGTGACCGCTTTCTAAGTGCCGGCTAGTAGCCGGTTTGGAACCGGCTACTAGTAGGTCTGCTTTAGAGCTCGGCTAATAGCCGGCTAGTGACCGCTTAGTAGCCGGTTAGTAGCCACTTTGTGGTCACTAGCCGGCTAGTAGCCGGTTAGTAGCCGGCTAGTGACCACTTTTCAAGTGCCGGTTAGTAGCCGGTTGGTAATGTGAAGTTGAGGAGCTGTTATTACAAAAGTGGCTACTAGCCGGCTAGTAGCCGGTGTTCATATGGTACTGTGCAGGGACGTTGCATAGACGTTGCATAGACGTTGCATAGACGTTGCATAGACTGACCGTGCAGGGAGTGTGCATAGAGTGTTCATTGTGCAGGGACGTTGCATAGACGTTGCATAGACGGTTCTTTTGTTGTTGCATGGACGTTGCATAGACGTTGCATAGACTGTCCGGAGCTAAACGACCAAGTTGCCTATTTGTATTGTACCATTAATTCTTTTGAGTGAAAAGTGTGACTGGAAAGAGTGCATATATTTACATACTGCATACTAGTATGTTTTTTATAAATAAATAGGATTCATGCATGGTAAAAATTGACAATTGATTAGTAGGTTTGATTCACGATGTCAATCCTTCGCATCTCGCCGATCTGCATGTGGTTGCGAGAAGCATTATTGGATGCGCGCGCGACCCAGTAGTGCATCGCGCTACAATTAGTAGGTTTGTCCAGAAAACCATACTGCATACTGATAGGGGCCTAACTTCGGAAGTAAAAGAAATAGAAAGTTCTGCTTTTCAACAAAATGTTCGTCTCGTAAAACTTTGTATCACGTGGTGACCCCCAGGCCCACTGTCGCTTCACTATAGTGACGATACAGGGGGAGGCGCGGCGGGTCATACAACTTATGACAAGTAAAACTAAAGTTACTTCTCCAGGAGCACAATTTGGGACAACCTAGATTTTGAATTATCACGAAAAGTTTTATTTTGGGCCTTATAAAAGTGCGCAGCTTTAACTTTGCAGATTCTTGTTCTCTGATTGGCTGAATTGTATTACGTGGTACGCGGTGCAATTGCATTCTTGGAATGTTCAAAGCGTGCAAATGCAATGAACTTACGCATAACGAGCGCGCGTGGAGCTCAATAAGTTAAGTTTAACGGGTGATACTCGTAAAATATCTGTTCCATATATTGGACCGTCGACGAGTCCAACTCGGCGCGCGTCCTGGTAGGTTACTGGGCCGCGCTCAGCCTGTCATTCCGCCAAATCTTTATTCGGTTATGTTAATGAACATAATAGCCTGGGGTCCTCAGGTAACCTGGTAGGTTGTAAACCTACAATCAACAAGCTGTGTTACCTGAGGACCCCAGGCTATTATGTTCATTTGGCGGAATGACAGGCTGAGCGCGGCCCAGTAACAAGCTGTGAAGACGTAATCACCTGTAGTAATATCGCCAGCCAGTAAAGTTTGCTGGGCATGAGAGAGCCGCGAGAGTTCAGGAAAGCTGCAGAAGAAGAGATTACAGGAAAGGGGGTAGGAAGTTGAGAAGGGGGGGGGGGGGATATTTCAATATAACTATAAGGCTTATTTTGACGGGGAAAAGTATGAAATTTTAAAAGTCGATTTTGAGGGTGAAGATCGCGTTTTTACAACCCCGGCCATCCCGAAGGCCCCCTTTTGTGTTGACAACATTTTTTAGGTTCTTTTGGTATTTTAAAGTTTAAATTTGACTTAGTTGGTGGCGATTTATGTTTTGACTTTGTCAAAGTGTAAGCTTTAAAAAATCTAGTTAAACTGCGCGTTGGTTATATTGTATATGGCCCCAGGAAACCTTACTCATACTGATAGGGGTCTAACTTTGAACTTCAGAAGTAAAAGAAATAGAAAGTTTTGGTTTTCAACTTGAACTTCAAAAGTAAAAGAAATAGAAAGTTTTGGTTTTCAACAAAATTTTCGTCTCGTAAAACTAAAGTTAACTCCACAGGAGCACAATTTGGGACAATTTAAATTTTGCATTATCGCGAAAAGTTTAATTTTGGGCCTTATAAAAGTGCGCAGTTTTAACTTTACGGATTCTTCTTCTCTGATTGGCTGAATTGTATTACGTGGTGCAATTGTATTCTTGGAATGTTTGAAACGTGCAAAAAAATGCAATGAACTTACGAGCGCGCGCGGAGCTCAACGTGACAAGGGTTATGGTCGTTAGGGTTAGGGTTGGGATTAGGGTTTATGTAAAACCGTTGTGTACGGCTGTAAAACCATAAAAACCTAAGTCACGTGAAATTTTTGGGCGAGCGAATTAGTTAGAACCGACAAGCTGTGAAGACGCAATTTCACCTGTAGTAATAATAATATTGCCAGCCAGTAAAGTTATATACTGAGTATAATCTACCAAAACGCGCGCCGAGCTTTGGACTCGTCGACGGTATATATAATATATATGAGTATATGTTTAAAACAAATTGCAAATATTTTACGAGTGTCACCCGTTAACGATTTATTTGACCAATGTATGATGTAGTAGGGGGTGCACGATAAAAATAAACTTGCTCGGATTTTCAAAATTTGTGTACCATTGTGCATTGTTTTCGATCTAGAGACTGTAAGAATTTTCACAGTACCAAATTTGTTATACCTTACCTGGGGACCCCAGAATATTTTACCAGGGGACCTCAGGCTATTATGTTCATAAACGAATAGAGATTCGGCGGAATGACAGGCTGAGCGCGGCCCAGTAACAATTTATATGTGGCACGCGTAGTGTATTGATGTGTACTTGACGGATGTTACTCGTCTAATTTTCTTCGAAGTAGTATCCATTTTGCACGCGACACATGCATAATTAAGTTACGAATCTGGGAATTCCGAGCCCTATTCTTATATTATTGTTTCTATGTGAAAGTATATGTGAAATGTTTTGACGATTAAGTCGGGGACACTTCATGATCCCTTTAAAAGATAATTATTCAGACAAACTCAGTAATCAAACACAAGTAAAACGTTTAAATAACTAGTCTGTAACATATGCTCAGATACAGTTAGAAAAGTAGTTTTTATATTCGACTGAATATGGGCATCACGTGCCCTTATATGGGCATCACGTGCCCTAAGGAGGAGTCAGACATCAAAGAAGAAATAAAAGAAGAGGTATACGATGCATCCTATAATGAAGCTGACTTCCAGCCCAAAGTGATAAAACTGGTGAACATTAAAGGAGAGCCCTTTATGTGTCAGATATGTGGCTACCAGTCCAGACATCTCAGATGGCTGAGATATCACGAAACTATCTGCCAGATACAGGGACCCCCTGCTATTCCTAAAGGTACTCTTATTTTCGCACGACCTGCTGGAATGGGTCAGCAGTTGATGATAAACTCTGATCTGGTGAACATGGTGTATCCTGGACAAACTGTCCGGCTCATTTCACCTCAACTCTCTACTGCTGATCTGATAGCCTGCAACCAGCAGGTTAACATGGCTAGGTTCGTCACCCCTAGCAACCAGTCCTCCTCTGCTCACAACTCCCTGCAGTGTCAGTTGTGTAGTTTCGTGGCTGTTAGTACTGATGCTCTTGCTCTGCATGTTAAAGTTAACCACGCCCCTGTTTACTCCTGCAACTACTGCTCCTTCAAGACTAAAATGCAGGATGATATTAAGACCCACCTGGATTTCCAGTGTACTCTGCGGCCTCCAAAGTGCTACACATGTCTGCTCTGCAACAATATTATATACGCTGTAGAGGACATAGAGAAACACTTTCGAGAGAAGCATCCCAAATATCAGCTGACTTCAGGGAACATTCCTGTACGAATGGGCTTTGTTCCTCCTCAAGATACTACGGTTACCATGGCAACTAACAATGTTACCATGGTTACTCAAGAAGCAGTATCACACACGCCACCTACCACGGACATGCCACGTAGACACCCTACAAACACTAGTCTGCAGCCCATGATGATGACTCCTTCAAGGCAGAAGGATATTCTGGATGGGTTCCATCTGTGCAGGTACTGCCCTTTCAAATCTCAGAAACCGTCCGAGGTTAACAACCACATGAAGTTTGGTCACTTGAACACATTTGACTTTGACAGGAAGTTCAGTGAGCCTGAAGTGGCGGTTAAGAAAGTAAATAAGCCTGCTTGTCCTGGTAAGATCGACTTGCGCGCTAGCTGTGTCGAGTCTGGTAATTTTGAGAGTTTAGAGTTTTTACCGCCCGACTCATCCCCCACCTTTACTTCCACCACTGTGATCGGGCGACCAAAGTGCGCTGGCAAACGGCGCCAGGACATGTCCTATGTGATCCAGGACAAGATAGACAGCATTAAATGCAGCCCTAAGGAGAAGAACTTCCACTGTGAATTCTGCGAATTTAAAACAACCACCACGTTCAACCTGAAGAGACACATCAAGAACCGGCACAAGGAGCAGCAGCAGGAGGTGAGGGAAGATAACGGGGTTATCTGTCAATATTGTAACGAGAAGATGACTCTAGGTAACCTGAAACGTCACATCAAGAACAGGCACCCGGAGATGATAGAGGTCACCTCCACTCCTACTGTTCCCTGCCCGTACTGTGAGTTCACCACAAACTCTAGCTATAACCTCCGCAGACACGCCCAAAAGAAACATCGGGATAAGTTTAAAGGCCTGGCCGCAACGCCAAACAATTTGATTCTGAACAATGTGGTATGTCAGTATTGCAAATTCAGAACCAACAGTGAGCAAAGTCTTGAGAAACATGTTAATAGGATTCACCGGCAACCTCTGCAAGCTTCTCCACAAGCTAGTCCAGTGGAGGACTCTGGTGGTAACCATGGGAACCCCGTCACTCTTGTTTCTGAGAGAGTTGTTGTACAAACACCTCCAAAAGAAGCGAGACCTCCCAAGGAGAAAACATTGTCATGTCAATCTTGTGTGTTCAGAACGGCTTACTCCCAGAACTTGCGGAGGCACTACGAGAAGAACCACAGAGACGTTTACCCGATATTGTACCCTGAGAGATACGCTAGAGAGGAGGCAAAGAAAGCAACTGCTCACACTGAATGTAAAACTTTAACTATCTCAGACAACAACAGCTCTGATTTGACACGTGACACCCCTTATACGGGCAACAACAGCTCTGATTTGACACGTGACACCCCTTATATGGGCAACAACAGCTCTGATTTGACACGTGACACCCCTTATACGGGCAACAACAGCTCTGATTTGGCACGTGACACCCCTTATACGGGCAACAACAGTTCTGATTTGACACGTGACACCCCTTATACGGGCATCACGTCTCCCATATCAGACAAGAACAAATCTACAGTTGCCTCACCGTCTTCTAGCATCATATGCGTTCTAGAAAACCATCAAACTAAACCAGTCAACAGTTCTGTGATTCAGTCTGTTGGGGAACCCACTCCAGATTCTACTGTCAACTCAATGAACACTCACAACTCCCCGTTCCGCTACAAGTCTAACAATGTTACTATGGCAACTAACAATGTTACTATGGCAACTAACAATGTTACTATGGTAACTAACAATGTTAGAGGTATTGGCCGTTTGCCTCTGACCTTGTTTCTATGACCCAGGTAAACTGGACCACGCTCTGGTAACAGGATCGGCCCCCCATGCCTGGGGTAACGAGGTAGTCAGGGGGAAGGTTAGCCCCCGTAAAAGTGGAGCCTTGGCTCACACTCTAATCTCCCTAAGCTTTGGGACAAAAGCGTATAGTCATTTATTGGAATTGGTGAAGAAAGAAGAAATAATACAACGACAGGACATCATCACAAAACCCACTCTTACTGATTAGTAGCAACAAGTGTTCTAGCGGAAGTTGTTACTCACGTGGCCAAGATGGATAAGTCATTTAACGCTCAAGTGGCGCCCGGCGTTAAGTAGGTGTCTCACTTTGCCTGATGTGCAGGGGACTGCGCATGAGACACCAGCCATTGAAAAGTTTGATGATGTCTTATAATAACACTAGGGTTAAAGTCCCTACCACTGATTTAGATGTCGGAGGGGACCGGATTGATGACTCTCTCACCCTAAAACTCCCTAGGAGAGGGGTGACAGATGATATGCCGGCTCCTTCACCCGGCACAAAAAATAACATAAAACAACAAAAAAAGGATGGGGATGCATTGGTTTCTTGTAGTGAGGTAGCTCTAGTAGGGACATTTAATGTCCGAACTGCTAGAGAAGGTTACAAGCGCCTTGAACTCGTGACTCAGTTTCTGGAGAGTGGCATGGAGATCCTTGGGATCCAAGAACATAGGATTGTCCACCAGGAGCCGATCAAGATCGAAAAGTTCAAGGAGGGGGTTAGCTTGGTAACTGTTTCAGCATGGAGGAATGGAGCAGGAGCAGCCACCGGCGGAGTGGGCTTTCTGCTGACTAGAAGAGCATACAGCGCAATCAGCCTCATTAAACCCTATGGCTCAAGAGTGCTGACTATCTCTTTCAACGGAAATCCCAGACTCACAACTATAACTGCCTATAGTCCTACCGAGGCAGCACTAGTTGAAGAAGCGGAGGATTTCCATAACACCCTTAGACAGGCTATGAATGATGTGCCAGCGCACCACCTGCTGATCACAGAGGGAGATATGAACGCCCGGCTTGGAAAGGAGAGTGAAGAAGATTCCCGTTGGTACTTTCATACTCGTACCAATCGGAATGGAGAGCTACTGAGAGACACTGCCCTGGAGTGCGATATGGAAATTACCAATATCCGCTTCAGAAAGAAGGTCAACAAGAGGTGGACCTTCTTATCCGATGGGACACTTAACAAAGGTCAGATTGACTATATCCTCATACGGCGGAAGTGGAAAAACTCATTAAAGAACACTGAAGTTTACAACACTTTTCAGTCGTTGGGATCTGATCACAGAGTTGTAGTGTGTAAGATCAAAGTTAGCTTTAGGAAAGGACACAGGCCTCCGAAAAAAGTTAACTATGATTATAGTGCCCTGAAGTCGGATGGTGAGCTTCAAAAAAAGTATGCATTTGAAGTTCGGAATAGATTCTCTGGCCTGGTAGAGGAGGATGATGGGGCCACTGAAAGCTACGGGAAGCTTATGGTTGCTATTGAGGCGGCAAACAAGAGCCTTCTGCCAAAGAAGACTCGACAAAAGCAGATTGACCCCTCAAGTGACCCAAGAGTGGACAGTGCAAGGAGGGGACTGTTCTTGGCCAAGGACCAATACCATCAGGAGCCTTGTGAGGAGAAGAGAGAGGAAGTCGCCACTAAAAAGGATTTGTTAAAGGCCTGCTACAAAGAGGTAGAGGAGGAGATCCTGAAAGGAAAGATCAGGAAAGTTGAGGATACTGCTGATCGTTGTAAGAACAAGGAATCCTGGAAGCTTGTCAACGATATTTCAGGGAGGACAAATCCCAGCTGTGGACTCGTGGAAGGGGGCAGCTCAACAGAACGTCTTGAGAACTGGAGGAAGCACTTCTCTGGGTTACTTGGACAGCCACCCACAGTCCCTGACAATAGTATTCCGATCAGGAATATACACCCTCCACTGAATATAGAGGATGGCCCGTTCACCATTGAGGAACTACGTCTTGCCAAAAAGCAGATAGTAGAAGGCAAAGCTTATGGTGATGATGGTATCTCACCTGAAGTGATGAAGAGGGTGGACATCGATGACGTCATCCTGAAGTTCTGCAACGATGCATTATGTGATGGTCTCATGCCCGATCAATGGAAGCTCAGTAATATTGTTCCTGTGCCAAAGAAAGGGGACCTCACTAAGACCGACAACTACAGAGGAATATCTCTGACATCGATAGTCAGTAAAACTCTGAACAAAATGTTGCTGAACAGGATGAAGCCAAGTCTTGAGGAAGTTTTAAGGGACAACCAGAATGGCTTTAGACCTGGGCGCTCTACAACATCGCACATCCTTGCTCTACGAAGAATTATGGAGGGTGCTAGAGCCAAAAATCTTAAGGCCACCATGGTTTTCATTGATTTCAAAAAGGCGTTCGATAGTGTGCATAGAGGTTTGCTCATGAAGATATTAAAAGCATATGGCATACCAGAAGCCATAGTGCGGCTCATTGAGGGTATCTATACGAGCACAAAGGCTAAAGTAGTTACAGCCGATGGTATAACAGAAATTTTTGATATCCTGGCTGGAGTACTGCAAGGAGACACTCTTGCCCCGTACTTGTTCATTATCGTGATTGACTATATCATGACAGTGACTATAGACGATGATGACTCGGACTCTGGGTTTACCCTCAGGCCTGCACGGAGTAGAAGGATTGGTGCCGAGAAGATCGCAGACGTCGAGTTTGAAGATGATGTTGCCCTTATCACTGATACCATTGAAGGGGCAAAACTACTCCTGGACAGGCTTGAGAAAGCAGCACTGAGTGTTGGGCTAGCCATGAACGGCTCTAAAACTAAGTTCATGACTCTGAACATGACAGAGGAGGCGAGTAGTCTTAATAGCTGTTCTGGAAACCAGCTGGAAAAGGTGACAGACTTTGTTTACCTTGGAGCTTGGATAGCAACAACAGAGAGGGACCTGCGGGTCAGAAAAGCTAAGGCTTGGGCAGCCTGCCACAAGCTAAAGAAGATGTGGAAGTCTGACCTTAGAAGAGGACTAAAGATCCGTCTATTTGTTGCTACTGTGGAGTCAATACTTCTTTATGGTTCTGAAACCTGGACGTTGACAGAGCAATTGAAGAAACGCATTGATGGCTGCTACACTAGAATGCTAAGGATGGCACTTAATGTGGATTGGAAGCAGCGAAAAACCAACAAAGAAGTCTATGGCAACCTACCGAGAGCAACCATGAAGATCCAAGAGCGCAGGATGCGACTAGCAGGCCATATCCACCGGCACCCAGAACTAGTCGCAAACCGCTTGCTACTCTGGGAACCAACTCATGGGGTGCGGAGTAGGGGGAGACCAGCCATGACCTATGTTGATAGCCTACGAGCTGACACGGGTCTCAACGACACTGGAGAAATGGGCGGACTTATGGCGGATAGAGTTTTATGGAGACAGCGCATCAATACTCGGACGCTGAAGCCGCCTTAAGTCAAGTAAGTCAACAATGTTACTATGGCAACTAACAATGTACCTCATAACTCTGGTATGTTCTCTCCCAGCGAGGTTCACGTCCATATTCCCCATCAAAATAACTCAGGATATTCTGGAAGTTCGCAAAACCAGACTCCTGTTCAAAATAACTCAGGATATTCTTCTGGAAGTTCGCAAAACCAGACTTCTATTCGACCTACCTTTGGAGCATCTCGTCAGAACGTGCCATTTATTGGGCAACCTCCGCTGCTTCCCCAGTCCCAATGTAATATTCCGTTTTCAGAACAAAATGTAACTGCTGTGCGTGATAAGTTATGATAGTTTTGATTCAGCTTTTTGAGATGTATTTTGAAATTCTTTTCGATGAAAAATGGTGAAATTTTGATAATAATGGTTTTCTTTATTACATGCAAATTTGAATAATAACCATGATTAATTTTCTGGTATGTTTATTTACAGTTTTACGTTAATAATAAGTTATTAGATATGGTTACCATGGTTACCCAGCCAAGGTGGGGTGAATTACAGTTCTTCAGTAGTTAACCTTTAAGGGCTGACATGCGTACATGAACATTATGTAACTTATAATTTGCAATGACTGACAGTTCATAGATTAAATCTTTCTGCAAGTAAGTTGAATGATAACATTTATGTAGGAGCAAATATTTTCCTTTTTTAATGATGATGATGATCTAACCTCTATCATTTATTGTTTCATGAAAGTTTCAACTGAAAAATATCAGAATTTCGTCTTTTGAAAATGTAGGTAGACATGAATAAAGTACAATAAAAATAGTTTTCTCACCATAGTAACACTAATAACTAATTATAATATAACAATACTATGATATTAACAATAACATATTCCCACTGCAGGTAGAAATAGTTTCCTCACCATAGTAACGCTAATATTCCCACTGCAGGTAGAATGAAAATACGTCCTGATGAGCAGTTGAGCAAGTTAAGAAAAAGAGAAAAGTGATGTTAATAGTATAGTATATATGTTTTGTGCCTCAGTTAGTTAAGTAAACCTCATTAATATGTAGCTGTAGCTACATTGTAGCTGTTGTACAACCCACCTCAGTTCATAATGCTCTTGGGAAATTCCAACGATTGGTGAAAATGTTTTATCCAAATATTTCTGGATTTTACTTTTGTGTTATTCGGATGTTTGTTGAGTCAATTTATTTAAAAGCATTTTTGCTTTATTTTTGCTTTATATCATTAACATTTTTCTTGCTCCTGCCTTTTTAGAATCTCTCTCATTTGACATACAACTAAATAGGTTGAATTAGGTTGAAATAGGTTGAAATCGTTCAATGTAAACATTTAAAGATGTAAATGGTGTTTATTTGATATTCTCACACAGCTTAATGAAGAAATCTCCTAAAGTAAGTATCATGTATTAAGTATTATTATTTTATTATACTTAGAATTATTACTAATCATGCTTTGTCTCAGATGTATATAAAAGAAGTGATTATTGATGGGTTTAAGTCCTACGCTCATAGGACTCATGTCAAGAATTTTGACCCCATGTTTAATGCTATCACGGGTCTTAACGGAAGTGGTAAAAGCAACATATTAGACGCTATCTGCTTCGTATTGGGCATCTCAAATCTATCTCAGGTTAGTTTTAAGCGGCATCACCGCTTAACATCACTTTTTTTAAACTAACATTTTTGACGATGGTCTCTGTTTTTTCCACCGCCTATGATTTTTATCTCCATCGCAAATAAGCTGAATGTGTAGGAATGATTCAGAGAACATTTTTCCCTCAAAATATTGCTTTTCGGGTGATTAGGTTCCATTCTCGCACATGTAGGTTAGCGCTATCGGGGGTCATGAATAGCGTGTATTTCTCTTTAGTGTGACGAAATGATGTGCCATAGTCACACTGCACACTTGTGTTTTACGGCAGTCGCGGTCGCCGAACGAGTTTTTTACATGTTTCATTTTCGGCGCGGCGCGTAATGTGCGCGCGTGGCGCGTAAATTCATTCAATTCATGGGGAAAGTGAGGGAAGATTTGCATTTACGTGACCGAGGCCTGGCTTGATATATAGGCGAGCGTCCAATGTAAATATTATGACAATAACATTTAAACGCGAATATAATACCAACCTGCAAGCAACTGTACATACCACTTGATAAACAGTTTCTTACATTTAAAAAACTTGTTGGATACAGTCAGTGGCGCAACAAAGGGCCCCGCTATGGGGCGCCATCAGAGGGGGGGGGGGGCAACAAAAACCCGATCTAAAAGTTGTACCAAACGTTTTGAAACCCTGTTTCACATTATAAAATCTGATCACCAGTTTTCCTCTACTTTTTCCTGTCAAGAACAAATTACGACATACAGTCTCAGTCTTACCCAAGCCCTCAAATATTTAATGAGTACTTAAACCAGCAACTCTTTGTCCGAAATCTGAGCCAACCTATTTTCATGTGATCCCAAAGATTATCATTTTTATTTTATATATATATTTTATTATTATTATTTTACCTACAGATTATATTATTTCAGTTAGTATCGACATCAATGTTACGATATTATTGCAGTTTATTTTTATATTATATTGTATTCAATAAACCGGTTTCAAAGCCCTTATTGGTGGCCCTCGGGTCTTTAAAACAAAACAATCATAATATGTCGCCAGATGTAATATCTGTTCACATTCCAAAAAGAGGCCACGGTGGGATTCGAACCCACGCCCCGGAGGACCAGTGCCTTAAACTGGCGCCTTAGACCGCTCGGCCACGTGACCATAGGGTATTAATATTTGAAAAATAATTATTCAGCGAGGATATCCACAGGTGCGAGCTACAAGCCTACAAGAACTGGTTTACAAGAACGGCCAGGCAGGAATAACTAAAGCGAGTGTTACGATCGTGTTCGATAACTCCGACAAGAAACAAACTCCCGTGGGATACGAGAACTTTGACGAACTTACTATTACACGACAGGTGCGCTTTTCATTCTAAATATTCGTTATAATATTTTCTACAATTTATCAATTAAATCAAATGTTAATGTGTTCTACATTAAAATAAATGACCAGAAAATTGTGTGCTTACATTTTCTACAAACTGCAAGTTGTTAAAATGCAGTACTTCTCGCATTATAAAATAGGCCTCGGCGGGATTCGAACCCGCGCCCCGGAGGACCAGTGCCTTAAACTGGCGCCTTAGACCGCTCGGCCACGAGACCTTGATATACAAAGATTCTGTTCTAAGAACACAGATAATTTTGATTTGCGCGCGCACTTCCAACGATTCTGGCGCCTTTCTTGAGACGAAGTATTTAGACTTACACCCCAGTTCCATGGCCGGATATTGTGCCAAATCATTAGACGGAGCTCGTCTACTGATATTTCTCCGGTTTGCAGTTCCACGACCGAAGACCATCTACAGAAATTTCTTGATTCTGTATGAATTAATCTCCGAGAAATTCCCGGAGAGCTTCATCTCCGTCTAATACAGTAGACGGAGCCGGAGAATCATCTCCGGAGATGATCTACGGGAAATGGACCTCCGTCTAATAATTTGGCATAATATCCGGCCATGGAACTGGGGTGTTATTGGTATAACACAACTTGTCCCTATTTTCTTTAAATATTAATATATTAATGTTGTACTCGACTGGAAAAAATAAAATTTAAAACCTATCCTAGGTAGTGGTCGGAGGAAGAAACAGATATCTGATAAACGGATCTAATGCAAACAATAACAGAGTCTCTGATTTGTTCCGATCTGTTCAGCTGAACATAAACAACCCTCACTTCTTAATAATGCAGGGTCGCATTACCAAGGTACCTAAAAGTGTAACTATGGTAACTATTAGTGTAACTATGGTAATTGGTAACTAGTAGTGTAACTTTGCTAACTAGTAGTGTAACTATGGTTACTAGTATAAGTAGTGTAACTATGGTAACTAGTAGTGTAACTATGGTAACTAGTAGTGTAACTATGGTAACTAGTAGTTTAACTTTGCTAACTAGTAGTGTAACTATGGTTACTAGTATAAGTAGTGTAACTATGGTAACTAGTAGTGTAACTATGGTAACTAGTAGTGTAACTATGGTAACTAGTAGTGTAACTAGTAGTGTAACTATGGTAACTATCAATGTAACTCTGTAGGTTCTAAACATGAAGCCTAAAGAGATATTATCGATGATAGAGGAGGCAGCTGGAACGTCTCTTTACGAGAGTAAGAAACAATCTGCTCTTAAAACTATTGAGAAGAAAGATAACAAACTAACTGATATAAACAAGATACTGGATGAAGAGCTGAACCCTACTCTTGGTACATATACATTTATTTAATACACAGCAATACTCTTGTTTTTTATACTGTTTTATTATCCCACAACCAAACTTAGTTTGCTGAGTTATTTACAATTTTATTTGTTATCACGTTGTATATTTATACTAATAAATACTAATACTGTCTTCTGATTTGTGCTCACATATTACCACGTGCTACCAATACTGTGTTCTGATTGGTGCTCACATATTACTACGTGCTACCAAGACTCAGTTCTGATTTGTGCTCACTTCAGAGAAGCTGAAAGCAGAGAGAGCGTCCTATTTGGAGTACCAGAAGATACAGCGACACATAGAGACACTAACCCGACTAGTGGTTGCCTACAAATACACACGTGCTCAACACGTGGACCAGAACGCAGCGGGGGAGGTGTTGTCTTTACAGGACCAGATAAACACCATGGATAACGAAGTGGTTGCAAGTAAGAGTGAGATAGAACGGCTGAAGGAGGAGATAAGTAGACTGGAACAGACCAGGAAAGGACAGGCTTCTTCTAAGTTGGAGGAGCTGGAGACTGAGATGACGGATATTAGTAAGAGGGAGGTAAAGGCTACGTCAGATCTGGATAACGTGCTGGACGCTGTTAGACAGGAGGAGAAGGAGAAGGAGAGCACGCTGAGGAGTATCGCTAACACTGAGAAACTCATCTCTAATAAATCAGAGGAGTTGACAGCAGTGAGAGAAGAGGCAGAGAAGTACAAGGAGTTGGAGGAGAAAGAGAGAGGAAACGTGGAGAGAGCAGAGTCTAACTACACCCAGGTAACTATGGTAACTGGTAGTGTAGCTATGGTAACTAGTAGTGTAGCTATGGTAACTAGTAGTGTAACTAACCTTAGTAACTAGTAGTGTAAACACTGAGTGTAACTATGCTAACTGTCTAACTACACCCAGGTACAAGCGGGACAGATGGAGGGAGAAGACGGAGAGCAGCTGACATACACAGAACATCTGATGAAGCTAAAAGACTCGCTGAGCGAGGCACAGACAGCAAACCAACAAGCTAACCTGAAACTAGCACACTCTCAGAGCACTATAAAGAAGATGGAGACTGACTGCAAGAAGGCGGAGTGGGAAATAGCCCGGGAGAAGGGAGAGTTTGACACGGCTGTAACAGTTGTGGAAGGAGTGGAGAGGAGAATTGAGAAGCTTGGCTTCTCTCAAGAGGTGCACAGTGAGCTACAAAATGAGAAATGTGAACTAGAAAACAAGGTGGCTAAAGCTTCAAAACAGGTAAACGAGCTAGTGAACAAGTTCCCGCAACTCCAGTTCGACTACGTGTCCCCAGACAGGCACTTTGATAGGTCCCGCGTAAAGGGGCTGGTAGCTGATCTCTTCACTGTACCGGATAACCAGTACGCGATGGCTCTAGAGGTTGCCGCTGGGGGGAGGTTGTATAACGTGGTGACAGACAACGAGGACACCAGTGCTCTACTCATCAAACACGGCCAACTCCGCAGAAGGTACGTCATGATATTGTAACTAGTAGTGTAAAGTTATGGTAACTAGTAGTGTAACTATGGTAACTAGTAGTGTAACTATAGTAACTAGTAGTGTAACTATAGTAACTAGTAGTGTAACTATGGTAACCCCGCAGGTACGTCATGATACCCCTCAACAAGATCCGCAGCAATGTTATAGACAGGGAGGTGGTTAACAGCGCCAAGAGACTGGTCGGTGGTGACAACTGTCACCTAGCTCTGGACGTCATCCAGTTTGATAAACAGGTGGAACCGGCCATGAAGTTCTGTTTTGGAGGGGTTCTCATCTGTAAAACTAAGGAGCAAGCTAAGAAAGTAGCATTCGACAAGTCAGTGAAGAGGAAGGTTATTACTCTGGAGGGAGATGTATACGATCCGGCAGGTACTCTAACGGGAGGGTCCAGGAACACTTCTAGATGTGTTCTTAAAGAACTCTCTGCCTGCAAACAGTCCAGATCTGATCTCACCCAGTACAAAGAGCAGTACAGACAGGTAGAGGGAGAGTTGAGTAAAATGGAAAGAGTTGTTCACCAGTGGGAGGAACTGACAGGACAGCTGAGGTTGAAGAAGCACGAGCGGGATTTATTAGAAGAAAGATTGAAGCAGACCTCTCACTACAAAGACATAGAGGAGTTGAGAAGGACTAAGGAGGACCTGGCAAAGCAAAAGGAAATTGTGGACAATTTTAACGACAAAGAAAAGAGTCTCTTAAAGAAGTGCGCGGAAGTGGAAGCTAAGATGAAGAACTTCAAATCTGAACAAGAGAAAGAACTGAAGAAGTCGGAGAAGAGGATATTAGACGCAAAGAGTAAATTAAACAAGTGTTCGAAGGAGGCGAAAGCAAAGGTGAACAAGTTGAAAGAACTAGAGTTGGAGGTGAGCAGTGAGCTAGCTAAGGAGTTGGAGGGTCTGCGAGAGCAGCTGCCTAAATGCGAGGAGGCTATAGCCGCTGCTCAGGAGCTAGTGGAGGGAGCCCAGTTAAAGCTGACAGAGTGCGCAGCGGTGAGGGAGACACTGGCTGCTGAACTTGGGGCTCAGCGTGAACTGATACAACAGTGTTCTGCTGAGATAGAGAACTTTGTGAAGGAGCAGAAAGCAGCGGAGAAGCAGATAAGTAGCTGCGGGATAAAGCTGAAGGAGCTGACCCACAAGCTGAGTAAACTGAACAAGGAAGCGAGCGAAGCAAAGCAGCAGGTCCAGTACTACCTCAACAACTATGAGTGGATTGCTTCTGAAAAACAGTACTTCGGACAGAAGGACACTGCCTACGACTTTGAGAAACAGGACCTGAAAGAAAGTGATAAGAAGTTGGAGCGTCTGAAGGCAAGTAAAGAGAAACTGTCCAAGAATGTGAACATGAGAGCAATGCACCTGCTAGGAGAGGCAGAGAAACGGTACATCGACCTGGTGAAAAGGAAGGACATTGTGACTAACGACAAGCACAAGATAAACAAGGTGATCAAGGAACTGGACGAGAAGAAGAACCGGGCAGTCAGGAGAGCCTGGGAGCAGGTGAACAAGGATTTCGGCTCTATATTCTCTACGCTGCTTCCTGGAGCGAGGGTTAAACTGCAGACTTTGGAGGGGAGACCTGTTACTGATGGTCTAGAAGTCAAGGTAAGTGCTAATGTTTATATCTTTGGAGGGGGGACCTGTTACTGATGGTTTAGAAGTCAAGGTAAGTGCTAATGTTTATATCTTTGGAGGGGGGACCTGTTACTGATGGTTTAGAAGTCAAGGTAAGTGCTAATGTTTATATCTTTGGAGGGGAGACCTGTTACTGATGGTTTAGAAGTCAAGGTAAGTGCTAATGTTTATATCTTTGGAGGGGAGACCTGTTACTGATGGTTTAGAAGTCAAGGTAAGTGCTAATGTTTATATCTTTGGAGGGGAGACCTGTTACTGATGGTTTAGAAGTCAAGGTAAGTGCTAATGTTTATATCTTTGGAGGGGGGACCTGTTACTAATGGTTTAGAAGTCAAGGTAAGTGCTAATGTTTATATCTTTGGAGGGGAGACCTGTTACTGATGGTTTAGAAGTCAAGGTAAGTGCTAATGTTTATATCTTTGGAGGGGGGACCTGTTACTGATGGTTTAGAAGTCAAGGTAAGTGCTAATGTTTATATCTTTGGAGGGGGGACCTGTTACTGATGGTTTAGAAGTCAAGGTAAGTGCTAATGTTTATATCTTTGGAGGGGAGACCTGTTACTGATGGTTTAGAAGTCAAGGTAAGTGCTAATGTTTATATCTTTGGAGGGGAGACCTGTTACTGATGGTTTAGAAGTCAAGGTAAGTGCTAATGTTTATATCTTTGGAGGGGGACCTGTTACTAATGGTTTAGAAGTCAAGGTAAGTGCTAATGTTTATATCTTTGGAGGGGGGACCTGTTACTGATGGTTTAGAAGTCAAGGTAAGTGCTAATGTTTATATCTTTGGAGGGGAGACCTGTTACTGATGGTTTAGAAGTCAAGGTAAGTGCTAATGTTTATATCTTTGGAGGGGGGACCTGTTACTAATGGTTTAGAAGTCAAGGTAAGTGCTAATGTTTATATCTTTGGAGGGGAGACCTGTTACTGATGGTTTAGAAGTCAAGGTAAGTGCTAATGTTTATATCTTTGGAGGGGAGACCTGTTACTGATGGTTTAGAAGTCAAGGTAAGTGCTAATGTTTATATCTTTGGAGGGGGGACCTGTTACTGATGGTTTAGAAGTCAAGGTAAGTGCTAATGTTTATATCTTTGGAGGGGAGACCTGTTACTGATGGTTTAGAAGTCAAGGTAAGTGCTAATGTTTATATCTTTGGAGGGGAGACCTGTTACTGATGGTTTAGAAGTCAAGGTAAGTGCTAATGTTTATATCTTTGGAGGGGAGACCTGTTACTGATGGTTTAGAAGTCAAGGTAAGTGCTAATGTTTATATCTTTGGAGGGGAGACCTGTTACTGATGGTTTAGAAGTCAAGGTAAGTGCTAATGTTTATATCTTTGGAGGGGAGACCTGTTACTGATGGTTTAGAAGTCAAGGTAAGTGCTAATGTTTATATCTTTGGAGGGGAGACCTGTTACTGATGGTCTAGAAGTCAAGGTAAGTGCTAATGTTTATATCTTTGGAGGAAGGACCTGTTACTAATGGTTTAGAAGTCAAGGTAAGTGCTAATGTTTATACCTTTGGAGGGGAGACCTGTTACTGATGGTCTAGAAGTCAAGGTAAGTGCTAATGTTTATATCTTTATATAGGTTATTATTGTTGCTAAGTAAACATACTTACTTTGGATACTTTGGAGAGATTCGTAGATTCCTCTACTGGGTCATCGAAAAGTTCGACCGCCCTTGCAGCATCGCTGCTGCCTTATTCATACTCCAGTCCAGCAAAGAATTTCCATTAGGGCAGCTGTAATTGCTCACAGGTGGGTTCTCTGGAAACGGTTTAAGAAATGCGGATAGTTTTGCTTTGAACAGCAGTGGGTCTTTAATGAGGTGAAGATCTGATGGAATGGTGTTCCATAAACGTGGCCCCATTACTGCAAATGAACCATCATACAATGACTGTTGACGTTGAGTACTGCTCTTGCTGAGACTTGGAATGGTGGCCTTGATTCCGTGTCTTGATGGAGTAGAAAAAAGAATCCCAAGGTCATTTGGGCAGCGTTGATGTAAGATTTTCCACATGTGGATGATAATATAACGCTCTCTCCTCCTTTGCATCGACATTAGATTTAGTGCTTTGAGCCGCTGCCAATAGTCAAGATGTTGAACACCCCAAATCCTTGAGGTGAAAGTACGCTGTACTCCTTCAATCTGTTGGATGTCTGAGATTTTACTGGTATTCCACAGAGGGCAGCAGTACTCTAAATGACTTCGGATAAGTGACTTGTAAAGTGTCAACATTGTTATTCTATTTCTGCACTTGAACGCACTAAGCACCCAGGCTGCCACTTTTCTAGCTCGAGATGCCATAGAACTGACATGATGTGACCACGACATATCAGAAGACACTATAACTCCAAGATCCTTAACTTGGTCTGTAGGATAGAGCATATTACCGCCTGACACCTTGTATGTTTGTGTTTGACATACAAAAGGCAGCTCATACAGACTCTCATTAGGATTCCCCCGGTGAACTAGGAGCTCAAACTTATCCTCATGTAAAACCATGTTATTACGTTTGGCCCATGCAATGACATGGTCGAGATCTTGCTGAAGAACGATAACATCCTGTTCTGTATATATGTGCTTCAGTATACGGGTGTCATCAGCAAAGAATCTTATAATTGAACCAGTAACACAAAGCTTCATGTCATTTATGAAGAGTATAAAAAGGAGGGGTCCAAGAACGGTTCCTTGGGGGACTCCACTGATAACCAAGGCTGCGAAGGAAGACACCCCGTTCAGAACAACATGTTGATGACGGTCCGACAGAAACGACTCCAGCCACTTAAGAATCCTTCCGTTAAATCCATACTTTTGCAATTTATCAATGAGAAGACGATAGTAGTATGTCAGGGATTTTTCAATAGCCATTTTGGGAAAAAAGTAGGTACAGGTGCTTGGAGTAAGCATATTACGTAATGTTACCGGCGGCGACCTTGTAATTAGTGTGATATCATGTTCCATGTGGACTCTATATTGGATGTAACTTGATTATTACGTCATGTTCATTGCACACGGTACTATTGTGATCTTATCGTGTAACGATCTTACCAGATTAGAGTGGGTAAAAGTGAAGTTATAATGTGTCACAAGCGATCCTTATCCTATAAATCACTTGAGTGACTCATTCAATCGTCTCTTGTGATTAATTTACACCATCTGTCAATAAAACTGATTGATGCTTTTAAAAGTAAAACAAATGATTCGTAACTGGTTGGAAAATAAATGGAAATGAAGGTTTTTACAAATAACATTAACTGAATATTATTTACACGATACACATCCAAAAATACGTTTTGACAGAATTAAATTAAGGTCTTAGTTTAAATCTATAAATATCAAATCGTACACACACAATTCTTTCCACTGTCCATTTTGTTGATGGTCTGTGCAGTCGAGCATAGTCAAAGGCGTCTTGTTGCTCAATATCCTCAACAAATTGTCTATAATCAGATGGAGTTTCTAATAATCGAGGGAGTGTAAACAGCATCGTGTTGTTTGACGGATGAAAAAACTTTAGTTCATCTGTAGTCCTGTCCTTGAGAATAAATCCAAACGCCACATTAACTTTGAACTTCTCGTTGTATTTTGCAACAACTTCTTCAGCTTTTCTCAAGATCGCACTATTATCAGTGGTGATTATAGGAAAATGGTAAACATCTTTCAATCGACCCTGTCTCACACTCGTTTTAATTGTTTTCCAACTCCTTTTGTAAATATCCTGATATTCTCCAGGAATTTGTGCAAGTGTGGAACGGTCCATAACTAATAATATTGACAATAGAGGATTCATTTTGAAAACCAGTTCTCCCAGATGCTTTTATAGTCTTTGTTCCGGAGGTCAATTTTATTCATTAATTTCAGTCACTTTGATCCTCAGATTGTGAAATGGAATGATTATCTAGCGTGCTTTCTGATTCTGACTGATCAATTTCACTAATATTAGAATCCGATGAGTACTGTTCTTCTTCCTTGTCTGATGCCGTTTCAGATCCTGACTGATCAGTCATAGAGTTATTGTCATCAATCTCCGATTTCTCTTCTTCATTTACAGACTTTATTTCCTGTTTCTCAGAATCAGATGGCTCAAATAATTCATCAATATCGGTTTTCATCCGGTCAAACATGTTCACGAGATGATTAAAATTTTCGTGTATCATTGCTTTTGCCATTAACTTCGAAGCATTAGATATTTCATTTAGCAGCTGGATTTCCTCCTCACTCAGTTTACTTAGATCTACCGTTTTCAGTATTAACTTGAGGACATTACGGAGTTTAGGAATATCTGCAGTCACTTCGTCTATGTCATTTTCAACAAAAGAGTTCCTTATTTCAATCATACCATCGATAAGATCTTCAGCTGCCAGTTCGTTCAAATCAACACCAACCTCTTGACCAACGTTTTGATCGACAGTATTATCCATAGTATCTAGAATATCTCTTATATCATTTTTGTTTGATTCTACCGTAAGTTTGAGTATTCTGAGTTCATTTGATGGAAGAATGCTGTCCTCATATCTAACAAAGTGAGTTTTATTACTCACACTGTCATTACTTTTCATCTCCTCACTCAAGTTCCTGACAAGTCTGTCTAATTCATCGACAGTCGATTGCAGAATATTTAGGTCTGCTTTCATTAGTACAATGTCCGTAACTTTATCCTGTAAATAATCGTATCCAGGACCATCTGTTGTGAATTCGTTGGCTGCTGGAAGCTTATTCTTAGTAGCGTAATCAGTACCATACTCGTAGTCGAGACTCACGGAATCATTGGGTAAACTGTAGACCTTATTTATATTTCTGCTATCTTTCTGTGCCCTGTGATACGAGTAGCGGTGGGTACGAAGACTTTTAGAATTTTTGTACTGCCTTCCACAACTATCACACGAGTATGATTTACTACTCATTTTCAAGCTAGATGAAAAACTATTGAATTCATATCAGCTGTCAAAAGTCCCTTATATACCTCTCA